AAGACACTTAGCGAGTGTGATCATATTTAGGATCGATAGCCATACTATTAAGAGGGGTGAAACTCGTATCGAAATATGGTTATCAAAGTGCCACTAGATGCTCTAATTCATTGCTTATGCGTTTAGATTCTAATGGGAGCTAACACCCTTGAAAATATTTGTGAAAATATGCTAACACACGTGTATAAGGTGATACACTTGGTGGTTAGCACGGTTGAGCAAGGGTGGCAAAGTTTGAGACTTGGAGACGATGTCTCGAGGTGACCGAATGCTGCTTTGGCAGTGACCGGACTTGGAGGCAGCGTCCGGTTAGTGGCGCGCAGAAGGGGGCCTGCTCGGTTGATTGACCGGACTTTGGTTCAAATGGTGACCGGACTCGACAGAGGTGCGTCCGGTCGCCTGTGACGTATACTGATGTGACCAAGAACGAGAGCCAGAGAGGACCAAACTCGGGGATGCGTCCGGTCACAGCCAAAAGGACGCGTCCGATCTTAGTTTTTCCTCTCCAGACTCTTACTAGAATCAACCTGACGCTGAGGAGCAGTGGGGAGCGGCGAGTCTAGTCATGGCATGGCCGTGGCGTGCGTTCGGTCATCACTTAACCATGAGGGCGCTGAGAATCGACTGTTGGGATCAGGCGGCTGACGTTGAATCCGGGGGACACATGGACGAAGATCTACGACCGGATGCTAGGGGCCTGCGTCCGATCAACGTGACCTGTGCGTCCGGTCGCCCCGTGAAAGCTGAGGGCAGAGAGCCAGCGACTCTATTTTGAGGGGGCCTCTATTTAAGCCCCTTGGCCAGCTCTAGCTCACTCTCTTGGCCATTTGCATTGACATAGCAACCTTGTGAGCTTAGCCAAAGCCCTTCCACTCATCTCCATCATTGATTCATCATCTTTGTGAGATTGGGAGAGAATCCAAGTGCATTGCTTGAGTGATTGCATCTAGAGGCACTTGGTGTTCATGTTTTGCTGCGGTATTCGTTTGTTACTCTTGTGGTTGCCGCCACCTAGATGGCTTGGAACAGTGAGCATCATCAAGCGGCGGTTAGTGATTGTCTCCGGCTCCGTTAGTGGTGATTGTGATGGGTTCTTGACCTTTCCCCGATGGAGAGCCAAAAGGTACTTTAGTGGATTGCTCGTGACTTGTGTGATCCTCATCTTGTGTTGGTTGTGTGGCAACCTATTGAGGGTTTGGCGTGTGATGCCAATTAGCGCGTGAACCTCCAAGTAAGTGAATCGCCATAACGAGGACTAGCTTGCCAGCAAACAAGTGAACCTCGGTAAAAAAATCATTGTGTCATCATTTGATTCCGATGTGATTGGTCTTCATTGGTATTCATTCTTGTGATTAATTGGTTCATTCCTCGATTCGGCGGTATAACCATCTTGCTCTCTCTCTTTACATTACCGCAAACTAGTTGTCAAGCTTTTTAGTGTAGCTAGTCGTGAGAACTTGTTAGTTTGATTAGTGTGGCTCTTTAGTTAGCTTTTGAGAGCACACTAACTTAGTGTAGTGACATAGCCATTGTGTAGATAGAGACTATAGAAAGTAGAATTATGGTAGGTGGCTTGCATTTTTAGTAGGCTAGCGCAACACTTACTTCGCCTCATATTTGTCTAACCGGTTTGCTAAGTGTTGTTGTAGAAATGTTTAATAGGCTATTCATCCCATCTAGTCATTAGAACCTTTCACTAGCGACCGCATTGAAGGCAGATTCACAATATTGCTTCATGAAATTTAGAGGAATCACTATTTGTGTTTTATACAATTTAGAAGAAATTTATTTGCCCATGCCACTGCTTGCTACTTTGATATTTTTGTGATGAAAATCCAAAACAAATATTGTTTTTCTCATTGTGCTCTTGTAATGTAGATGAAGGGATATTGCTACAATGCCATTATATTACATTATGTGCTTTGGTTATTACTATGGATTTATGTATAATGGTCATCAATATACTTTAATTATTGTTATGGAGTTGTGGTCTAATATATTCCATATTTATGTTGCGCAAGAAAATATCGTAATATCCTGGCTCTACCACTACCATAGATGGGCACTGTGGCCCACCTGGCTCACAACACAATCCATTCCTAACTGCCCATGGTAAAAAGTAGGTAAAATATGTCGTGAAAACTAGTACTAAGTGGAAATATAAAAATTAGAAATCAATTCAAAAAATATATTTCGATCGCTCATTTTTTTTGTACTTGGCACATTCATAGCACATAAAAATATGTACTCACATGCAAACATTCGAATGCAGACTCTCTTTGAAAAATACGAAAAAACAAGTTTGATGTGTATCTGCACTACAAGACGAAATCCTAGGAATTCCGTCTTCTAGTGCATATGCAACTCAATTTTGTTATTTTCGTAGGAGTTTTCTAATTTGAGTTTTCTTCTCAATTTTTGCATGTGAGTACATATTTTTATGCACTATGAATGTGCCAAGTTTTAAATTTTTTTGGGTGAACAAAATAAGTTTTTGAATTGGTTTCTATGTTTTCACCTACATTTTTAGAATATAGTTCCCACTACATATTTTGCCTGGTAAAAAGGGGCTCAAGTACCTTTTTGCAGTGGTGCCTTAGGTATCATAAATGAAAAGGGGCATATCTTTTATTTAGTTATTTTTATAATGATAAAGTATTGAACTATTTTCAAGCAATATTTTTTTGGCTTCAACTTCACGAGCAGCTCTATTGGTGGAGCTGAAGTTATTTTGGTGAATTGTTTGGCAAAACAACTATACACACAAAGCTCTCACAAATGAGACCTCTACCCACATAGGGGCCTTCCAGAGCGAGTTGAAATTGGAGAAACAGTTATTTTAGCTTTATCTCATAGCAATCCCTTGTGACAGCATACTTTAAGGAGCTTCACATACGAAGCTGTTTGAAAGATACTAACATGATACAAATAAGCTTCAAACAACTTATGAAGCTGCTTGAAAAATACTAGCATTATACAAATAAGCTTTAAACAACTTATGAAGCTGCTAGAGAAGTTGTACCAAATGGGGTCTTGTAGTTGATAGTCAAAGGTAAAAAAATAATCACTTAATTTAAAACAAATTTGTGAGGTTGGCTTACTCCCTCTAGCCACAAATTGTTACATCCAATTTTAATGACAAAACCGAATGAACATCACATGTACGTCAGGATCAGTTTAGTCCTACGTACGACGATGATATCATGACACACCATCTCCATATGCGGCCAACCTAGGGTAAACTAGCCTAGCCTCAACACTATCTTCGAGAACCGTCTTAAAAAAACTATAGCTCTTCGAGCCCAAACAACTCGGTGGGATAGCAAGGAACAAAGAGGAAGGGGATGATGAGGTAGGACCCACATGTTAGTCACTAACAAAGAGGGAGCATTGATGAGCTGTTGCTTGTGACTAGCAGGTAGTCAACTATGACTATGGGTCTAGGATGAGGAGAGCACGCAGGAAGACTCGGCTTGAGGCTAAGCAGGCCAGGTGAAAAAGCCAAAAAAAAAAAGGAAGCGGACCTTAAGTGAAAAGGAAAAAAAGGTTTGGGCTAGGTTTTTTTGAGAATTTTGGCCCAGAACAAGTTTTTACCTTTTTGTAAAATTTTGCAAAACAGTTTTCAAATATAATTGCTTAAACCTTTCTTTTTTGTAATTTAAAAAAAATGTTGAAAAAAATCAATTATTTTAAACTTATTTAAAGCTAGGTTTAAACCAAATTATTTCAATCTTCTCAACATATTTTAAAATATATGAACTCTATTTTGGAAGATTTTAAAAAAAATTTGAGAAAATTATTTCAAAAATATTTTGAAGCTATAAGTATTTATTATTTATTTTAAACATTATCTTTGAAAGTAGATAAACCTATTTGTGACCTAAACGAATTTTATAATTCATTTTCACTTAATCTAAATTATGCAACCTACATGAATGCAAGGATTTGTGACCAAAAAGAATTTTATAATTCATTTTCACTTAATTTAAATTATGCAACCTGCATGAATGTAAGGAAACTAATTAGAATAATTATAAAAAATTTCGAAAAACATATTTTTTCCATGGTTTATTTTTTTACAAAACATAATAAAATCTTGAAAAAATTTTAGAGAAATTATAAAAATATTTATTTTATTTAATGTTTTCTAATCACGATCCAAATAGAAATTTTAGGACATGACACAAACATGTAGCATTTCAGGGTCATCTTTAACTCAAACCTTATAACTTTTGGTACATATTATTTCTTTTATGTGTCAAATTTGGGTATTTAAAATGATACGAGATGATTTGTCTCAAAAAACGTTTTCACAAGAAAACATTATCACTGTGTCTATAACATTTTTGTAACAAAAATACTAGTCAAAACACGGTGAAACGAGACCACAAACATATATATGCGGCCTTTTTGGTAGGCTTTTTGGCGTCTGAAACCCTACCAAATGGTCATCAAGAAACGACTTTGATGAAGGAAGAGCTCAGAGGAGCTAGAGCCATTTTTCTATTGAGGAATCGAAGCCACAAAAACGAGGTTTCTCCTGGCTCGTCACAAGCTTGCCATTAAGTCTGTAATCCTACTGCACGGCATTTTGGATGAAGTATATAGGTAGTCGAAAGCGCGCCTGGGTGTGGACGCTTGAACGGTGACCGATGGCATTCGCGCATTTGCTGAGCACGCTGGCCGGCCGGTTCATCTCCAAGTTGGGAGTGATCGATTGGCGTGCATGCCTCGCTCTCCACCCGAGCAGTCACGGCATTTAACTTCTCGGCTTTATATCTTGTTCGCTTACGCTGAAATTTAGCTTATACTGATGTTTATGTTGAAAAATGATGTAAAAGAAAAATATTGTTCCATGGCTGAAAAGTAGTTCTGAATAAGCTCGGTGCATTGTTGAATCGATCCGCATGCCGAATTGAAGAAGCAACGCTGCCATTTTCATCCGCAAGTCCCATCCCCCACCGACTCCATCGCTTTGAGTTTGAGGGCTTCCCCACACTATGAGTCTCACTCTCACCAGCACTCACCTCTCCTATGTCGCCCGCTCCACACACCTGCTCAACATCTCCAGCTACTACATCGTCCCCGGCACCGACGGCAAGGACGAAGACCAAAGCAACATTTACTACAAATCCATCTGGGAAGTCGACGGCTACGAGTGGGAAATCCGTTTATACCCTGTCTATGGTTCGCGCTACCAGGTTGAACTCCAGCTCGTCTCCCTCGGCGAGGCTGGCGCAAACAGAGTGACAGCGGCTCTAAGCTGCCGGATGGTAGATCCAAGCGGGAGATTTGAGCCATCAGAAGAGAAGACTAGTGAGACCACGTCATTTCAGCATCGCTCGGATTCATCTCAGCCCCTTGTGGTCGTGAGCTTTTTTTTTTCTCCAACGTGCCTCGGGCACGATTTTCATTAAGCTGGAGAAGATAGTTTACTCGAAATTACAAATACATAAATGCCATGGTAATCCATCGATTACCAAAGCACAACGGCCCATGGGCAGCAAGCGAATTTGATTTACATACAACTATGCTTGCGACGGGAATAACCCATGGAGACTACATCATAGTTAGCAAGGACAGGAGGTGCTTATATCCTGCCAAACACCACTCCTCGGCCTCGCCCAAGATCGAGAGTCCACGAGTTCCTCTCCTTCCACAGTCTCCAGCCCACTAGGAAGAAGAGCGAATCGAACCCCTTTCTTGCCGGTTTGACAACGAGCTTTCTGTTGCGCAGCCACCATTCCATGACCTCCTCCTCATTGACGAGCACAACATCCAGGAGATGAAGTTTGGCCAGTAGAATGGCCTAGACCTCTCTGCTGTAAACACAACCCAAGATGATATAATCCATAGTCTCCGGCAGTTGGTCACAAGTGATGCAGTTGCTGGAGTCTTGCAAGCCATGACGAAACCGCCGTTCCGCGGTCCAGCATCTCCCGTGCATTACCAACCAGAAGAAGGCACGAACTCTTAGCGGCGCCGAGGTCTTCCAAATCTCCCTTGCCCCAAGAGTCCTCGAAGCTCCAAAGAACATGGCTCCACAGGCCGAGGCCAAAGAGTAGCCTCCATCCAGTGTGAGCGTCCACCGAAACACATCAGGTGTTCCCTGCAAGGGCTGAAAGTGCCGAACTTGCTGCCACACAAGCATGAACTCGTTGATTACCTGAACCGTATGTGCTCCGGTGATGTGGTGCACCCATACATTACCCGGTAGTGCATCACATACCAGCGCCCCCCGACGCCTTGCTGCAACTGCCTGATAGAGCGCAGGCGCCATTGACTGAATGCTTGTGCCATCAATCCAGTTGTCCGTCCAGAAGAAAGTCGATTCCCCGGAGCCAACAATGGACACCGTTGCTGCCTTGAAAACTGCAGCCACCATCTTTTCTTTTTTCCTATGCAAGCCGGACCAATTCATGCTTTGATCAACCCGACATTTCCACTCCCATCGGACCCTCAGTGCAACCCCAGCACGCCGTAGATCAATGACACCCATCCCTCCAAGATCATGTGGTTTGCACCATGATTTCCATGCCACTTTGCACTTGCCTGCAGTGACCGTCTGCTCGCCACACCAAATGAAAGAACGTCGCCACCTATCAATTTCCTCAATCGCCCACTGCGAAAGACACAGCGCTATCGACATGTGGATCGGTATTGTCGAGAGCGTTGCCCTGGCTAATGCTGTCCTCCCGGCCATGTTCAGCAATCTTCCTTTCCACTGTGGTATCCTGGACGCTACGGAGTCTACCAGCTTCTGCTCATCGCCCTTCCTCAGCTTGAAAATTGATAGTGGAATACCCAGGTAGCAGCATGGGAAGGCCTCGATCTTGCATAATAAAGTGTCACGCACCAGTTCTGACTCCTACTCCGAGCAGCCAATCGGAGTAGCCACACTCTTATCCAAGTTGGAGAACAGACCAGACACCAGGCTGAAGAGCTCCACCGCCCCCTTTAGGACGAGCAGGTCATCCAGTTTTGGTGTTACAAACATGACGACGTCGTCAGCGTACAAGCTGACCCTGAACGGCAGCGCAGCGACCCTCAAGGGTGACAGGAAACCCTGGACGTCCAGCCAGCAGATAAGATGGTTGAGAACCTCCATGACGAGCACAAAAAGCATAGGTGACAGTGGATCACCCTGGCGAAGTCCCCTCACATGGCATATTCTTCTCCCCGGCGTACTATTGAGAAGTATTTTTGTGCTAACAGTTGACAGTATGATGGAGATCCAGTCCCCCCATCGTTAGCCGAAGCCCAAATGCGCCAACACCTCGAGCAAGAAGTTCCATGCAACTGAGTCAAAAGCCTTCGCTATAGTCGTGAGCATATTCGAAGCAATCGACTTGCATTACATCGATAACAAATCTCTCACCGTGGAATGCACCGTCAAGTATTCAGATCAGATCCAGAAGCCATCCCCGTGCCATCCTCTAGCCTGCACCAACACCTCGGCGAACTCCTAGCGAGCCAGGCCGGGTCGGACGTCACGTTCACCGTCTCCGGCGAGTCGTTTCCCGCGCACAAGACCGTGCTAGCCGCGAGGTCCCCGGTCTTCATGGCCGAGTTCTTCGGGGAAATGCAGGAGAAGAGCTCGGCCAGGAAATGGAGGCCCCGGTGTTCGGTGCCATGCTTCGCTTCATCTACACCGACGCGGTGGCGGAGCTTGACGGGAAGCCGCCGGAGGCAGCGACCGCGACAGCGACGACGACCTTGCTGGCGCAGCATCTGCTTGTTGCCGCTGACAGGTACGGGCTCGACAGGCTCAGGGTGATGTGTGAGCGCAGGCTCGCGTTTGCTGTGGATGTCGGCAGCGTCGCGGCAACGCTGGTGATAGCGGAGCGGCACGGCTGCTCGTGGCTCAAGGCCAAGTGCATCGAGTTCATCGCGGGAGGCTCGCGTGAAAACCTTCACGCCGTCTTGTAGACTGACGGGTTCAACGATCTGGAGGTGAACCACCCTGCGCTGTTGACTGAGCTTCTCGTTGCTGCGCATGAAAGGAAGAAAGACTGATCGATGAAGCAGTTGATTGATGTTTGATGGAGGTAAATTAAATCTGCCCAGTGCCAGATTCTATTACTAAGTTACGTACACATATGAACATTGGAAATGAAACATGCATCGGTTTAACTCAGCGAAAATCTCTCTCCAAATTCGTATGTGTTGAATTCGATCAAATGGCTTTAATTTGTGTGAATAGTTTTATGTGTTATTGGGTTTTTTTTTCCACTTCTGTTCGGGAGGACACGTCATTGCTTAGATTCCTAGTGTGTTTGGTTCTAAATTTAAATAAAACTAGAACGCGTGTTGCCGCGGGATCATAGATAATTTTAAATGAAATTAGGATATTTATATTTATTTATATTACACAATCATTTACATTATTGCTACGTAATCACTTTCTAAAAGATACTGTACAAATCAAACCATGTCAAATGATGTCTTTCTCTAACCTTACCTGATAAATTGTGTCACATAACTGGAAACGTGGATAATAATCCGCTCTCAATAGATGACAACCAAACTTCCAAACAAACCATGTAGATCCATGTACTCCCTCTGTATCAAAATAGAAGTCGTTCTCACTTCCCGAGAAGTCAAATTTTATTTTTAACTTTGACCAATTAGGCCAGTCTCAGTGGAGAGTTTTATGGCGTTGTTTCCAAGACTGCCATGTCATACCAAATGAAATAAAACTTAGATGAAACACCCACTCTCAATGGAGAGTTTCATTCTATAGTTTCATAGGCATTTAATTTTATGACTCATAGAGAGTTGGTAGTCATGCCATGAGAGTTTTATCTAGATGAAACTCTTTTCTTCTCTCCTTAAATACATTGTCATGTCATCAAAAAATGCTTATATGACAACTTATTTAATACAAATAAATCTCACATGAAACTCCCACCGAGACTGGCCTTATATATATAAAAATATTCATATTTATAATACATAATTAGTATTATTAGATAGGTTGTTAAATATATTTTTATAATTAACTTATTTGAAGATATAAATGTTGCACACATTTTTTTACAAATCTAGTCAGAGTTGAAAAAATTTGACCTGCAGATATCCCATAACGACTTTCTTTCTGGGACGGAGGGAGTAGATCAATATAGAAACAAAAATCAATATGTACTCCGCTCTCAATAGATAACCAAACTTCCAAACAAACCATGTATCGATAGAAACCAAAATCAAAGTAAGCGTCCAATGCAATTAGGCCTATCTTGACTTTGGGGATGGTGCGCACTCATTTTGGAATAAGAAGAAATCAATAACTTAGCCATGAAAGTAGCAGCGGAAGATAGCTTCTCCAATAAAATATCAACAAATACCACACTATCCATGGCACCTGACGGGTACAGAGAAAGGAAAAGGAGCAATCTCTGGGAAGACAGACAGCCTGTTCGGGAGGCCGTATCGTATCGTGGATTATTTACTGCTGGCTGATTTGATGTGAGAGAAAAACACTGTTTCCGGCTAGAAATTTACGATCGTTTACGAGCAAGCGAACAGGCTGTGCGTTCTAACCGGCAAGCACGCATGTGCTGATGTGTAGTCGTTCATCGATCAAGCACCTTTGATGCAGGAATCGACCGAGAGCCAAGGCAAGGCCGGTGATCATCGGCATAGTGTTGCATATGTAAGTAGGAACGGACGAAGGGAGAAGGGGTGCCGTCTATTTGGCTTTGATGAGTTTGGGGTACGAAGGGATTGAATTTGAGTATCAGAGATGGCTTCCATGACTTTGGGATACGAAGGGATTAAATTGAAGTGTCATAGATGGCCAGTACGTAGTTGATAGTGGCGCCATCCCTTTGTCTTCGGTCACTCGTGATACGAAAAGATTGCTGATGTGGATTGTTGTGGATACCAAAAGATTGCTGATGTGGATTGTTGTGGGATGAGATAGAATTGATAGTGGGATTAGCTTTATAAGAGATAAAAGATACACTAAGCCAGGTATATTTTTTTTCTCTAAACTAGAGTATTTTGCAAACTGGTTGTGTAGTTTAGCTGGTTATATTCCTTGTGGTAGAACATTCCTATTCAATGTGAGTGTTGGGTTAAGTCCTCCGATATATTGATATGCGTGCTTACATCGTTTTAGATTTATTTTGGGATTTAATAGCAACAACAATGCGTCTGTCAACTGCGAGCGAGTAAGCTTACCATGACTTTGTCGTGTTATTACAAGGATGCTGATGACAAAGTTAGTTCGAAGTTTTTTTTTTGTTTGCATTTAACAAGAATTAAATATGAATGAAAGTATGCATACATGATTAAAGATTTGTGGAAATTTGAACAAACGTTTCATGAGCACACATATTTAAATATGAAGAAAGAGAAATTCAGTAATGGAACGTTTGCCATTTAAATATGATAATGGAAACTAACAATTTTATGAGTGCAGATATTTCACTGGTACTACATATAGCCATGTTGACTAACAAAACTGCACCACAGCTCAGCTCATTGGCTCAGCCTGTCAGTATTTCTGTACCTCGGTCGCTAATGGTTTGCGACTACTGCCTTGTGCATCCGGATCCGATCCAACGGCGCACGATGATTTGATTTAATCCGTTAATATATTCGGCACCAAAGTCGTCTCCTGCTTGGTCCTTGACCTTGAAACAAGCAGAACATCGTCACCCAACCCAAACAAACGTCCTCGGACCCGCGGAAATCGATTTCGATCGGCGAGCAGCAAACACCGCGTCGAGCAAGTAGAGAGCACGCCAGGCCAGCCATGGCAGCGGCGGGGGCATCGCGAAAGCTCATCGAGGCGCCTGGCCTCGCGGCGGCGGAGGCGGCAGTGGGCCTCGGTTTCGGCCCTGGGTCAGCTGACGACGACGCGGTCCCGTGGGACGTCATCGAGCAGAAGCTCGCCGAGCTCCTCCGCTTCCTGGCGTCCGCGGTCCAGGCGGTCGTGGCCGCGCTCCGGGAGCACACGGCTTCGCTCTTCGCCGCGCTGGGCTCGCTGGTGCGGGTCGCCCTCCCTGCCGCGGCGGCTGTGGTGGTGCTCCTCGTCGTGTTCGGGTGCTGCGTGGCGGCGGGGCAGCGACGGCGCAGAGGACCGGATGGGGAGGAGGTGGACGGCCTCGGCGGCGACGTCGACGGACCGGTGGTGAGGTACCGCGGCGTGTACAAGGGAGGGATCTTCAGCATGCACCCCAACAAGCCTATCGTGTGCTAGGGCAGCTCAGCACTTGTGCATGTATAGGAAAATTGCTCGTGTGTAATAATGCATTATGGATATATACGAATAGGAGTGCTAGTGTGATAAGATTATACTAGTACTATCTTGTAAGCCTAAGACCTATCAAATCTTAGTGGTATACTAGTGTGTGCATTTGTACAACTATGCTGAACTGTCTATAATATCTGTTTTATTTTGTTCCTTTTTGTGCTGCTCTCTTATGTCATGTTTATATGAGCTTTTGACCACTCTTAGACGTTTAGACTTTTCAAAAGCTAAACAGTTTCCATAAGCCAAAAGCTCACAGTGAGCTTCTGGCTTTTAGTTTCCGGAAACTTTTTGGCTTTTAAAAGGCCCAATAGCAACAGGAAGTCGAAACAAATAAGGATTTAAAGTCCCATAAGCCAAAAGCTCACAGTGAACTTCTAGCTTTTAGTTTTTGGCTTTTAAAAGGCTCAGTAGCAACGGGAAGTCGAAACAAATAAGGATTTAAAGGGATAGTTGTGTCTAGAAAAAAGTTGATACAACCTGACCTTTGTCTATTTGACGTGAAAACCTTCGGCACAACCTCACAAACACAATTGTAGAGCAAGAGCCACTGATTCCTCCATAAGACGAAAGAGAAAACGTCGAAAAATAGACAGAAGGAAGAAGGGACCATTAGAAGAATGCCGGTAATGGAAGAGGATTTCTTCCTAGAATTCCTTGCGAGGTGAGAAATCCAACTTCTCAGCGTGGTTGGATGAGGAGCCCATGAAGTGATGGCATTGACGACCACCATATCTGGTAGGCAATGGGGGCGACGGCAAGGGGGTGCGCGGGTAGGTGGGTTGCGGAGGGAGAGAGAGCCATTTGAATCGTTGGCGAGGAGAGAGATCACACTTTTAGAGCATGGAGCATTTATTTGATGAAAATGAAATGTATGTTTTTGCATCACATCAATAGTTGAGGTCAAGATGTGACCGACACATGCATCCAATGGCCGGCAGGAGAAACTAGGAAGTACGCAGGGTGCTACTAGGTTCATGCAGAATCAGCTAGACTGATGTTGTGGCCTGCGGGCTGCCTAAAGGCAGGCCCACTTGCGTTCCAGTTTAGGCCTTGTTTGGATGCATGTGTACCTACCTCAATCTACGTGTGTTGGAGTGGAATGGAATGTAATTTAGTTCAATTTCACTCCAATCCACTTCAACCCATATCGATTGAGATGAATACATGCGCATCTAAACCAAGATTTTAAATAGCCGGCTAAGCCTCTTAGCTGCTGACCTTCTCAGCAGCTAAGCACAGCTATAGCGGGAGATAGCTGCAGCTATGCTATTTAACTGTTTTTGCAAAAAAAATGAAAAAAATACATGACCTTGGCATAACTTCATAACCATTACCGATTGATATATAACCAGTTGAAAGGAGTACATTATAGGTTCATAGGAGTACATTACAACAGGCAAAGTGGCTAACAGAATACTGAAACATCAGTTTCACAAAAGTACAACATTCTGGAATAAAGATAACAGCACAACACAAAAGGTCATCAAGAGTTCTGGACAGTGGATACTAAATTACTAATACGAGGCAATATTGCAATCTTCATTTCTTCTAGTCTCACTAATCAGACTCAGAGGCATAGGGAGAGGGAGACTTATCAGAGTCAGTAACGCATTAGAGTACCATCATCACAATCTTCTGAATCGGATGATGGAGCTTCAGGCTGCACTAGGCCATTTCTCATCAAAGACTACAGGCTCCTGACTTTCCTCTTCTTAGGGTGCACAGGCCATTTCCTTTTAGCTTGTGGTTGTGCTTGTTGTGGTGTGTGCTTCTGTGATTCTTGTGCACATTGTTGTTGTTCCATTTCACTTGGCAAAGGCGTAATACCAGTAATGAATTCATTATCATCATCTGCCACAACATCATCTACTTCTTTCTCCAAAGGATCTCTATCATTCTTCTCTCTCTTATTCCTTAACTTAGAATTAAATTTAACAAACACAAGATCTCTCATCCTTTCATGAAGTAGCCTATTGCGCTTCTTTGTATGAACCTACGAGTCAAGTAGTGAAGACAAGGCTGCAGGTCAGATTTAAATTCCATGAACAAACATTAAAATTCAAAAAAGATAGCATGCACACAAAGATGCATGTCATAATTTTCTTTTTATCTATTCAAATACTGACCAGTTCCTCTCACAAGCTGAGGAGCTGCAGGTCAGACTCAGAATCCTTGCTACCAATTTCCTAAGATTTGGTGTGCTTGTGCCATGGTGCAGCCACCATTTTGCTGCATAAACATTAAACAAGTTAGAATAAAAATATGATATTCAACAATCAAATTAAGTTCACATATTCAGTTGTTCACCTGGATTGAAATTCTTGTTCTTTCGTTGCCTTGTGGCAATTTCACTTCCAAAACTCCCTTGCTGATTTTGATATATGTCAAGTTCTTCAATTATCTTGTCTTGGGTTTCTTCATCACCAGCCACCATCTTTGTAATACAGAAAATCACACCTGCTGCAAATGATCCATCTTTCACAATCTCTGACTTATTTGGGTAATACTAGTAGGGGTTCAAATAGTACCCAGCCAGGTGTAGTGGAGTCTTGAGCTTGTTGTCCCATCTTCTATCAATGATATCCCAGACTTCTTTGAAGCGGCTCTCATCATTATCAAACCTCTGAGAAATTTCTTTCTTCACCTCCAACATTAATCCATGGAAGAATCCCATTGATGGTACATCGTTATCCATTCTTCTCAACACATTAGCCAATGGGTCAAAGTAATTAACTACAATGTCAACATTTTTCTAGAAGGTTTCGGACATGATCACTTTGTTGGCTTTCTTCCCCTTGGCCTGCTTCAAGTAACCCAATTCCTCCATCTCATCTGATTTAAATAGTCTTGTCAACTCTTTTTTATTGTCCAGCAAGCTTTTTAGATTCAAGTAAGCAATGGCAAATCGTGTAACCCCAGAGCGAACCAAGTCTTTCTTAAGAAACTTCCTCATCAAATCCAACACCCTAGTATGAGCATACAAGAAAACAGTCACTTGCCTTGTATTAGCAATGGTCTCCTCAACTGGTCTAAGCTTACCAATATCCTCTAGCATGAGATCCAAGCAATGAGCAGCACATCCATTCCAAAATATTGAAGGTCTTTTTGCTGTCAATAGAGTTGCTACACTTGTATTGACGCTAGCATTATCAGTCACCACTTGGACAACATGTTCTTCCCCTATCTCTTCTATGTACCTATCCATAAGTTCAAAGATATATTTGCCATCTTTCCTATCACCCGAGCATTCCACTGAATCTAAGAAGAGTGCCCCATGAGCACTATGCACAACTAAATTCATCACTCCCCTACCCTTCCTATCTGTCCATGCATCTATCATGATAGAACAACCTGTGAGCTCCCATGATTCCTTATGCTCCTTGAATCCATCCATCACCTTTTCCTTCCTTTTCTGCAAGAACGGTCCACTCATCTCATAGGGACTAGGCCCTTTCAGATTTCTACCAAATTGTCCAATGGCCTCTAACATATGATCAAAGCTAGGAAGGGTGACTGTGTTGTGTGGAATGCTAGCTTCATAGAACCACAGACATATGTACTCATAAGTTCTATCCCTCCTCTCTTCTCTTTTCTGAGTTATCAATGTTGTTTGAACCTTATTGCTTAGATTAATTCCTCTCTGTGTCATACTAGCAGATTCTTCTATAGAAGGAGGCTTGTAGTACTTGTCAATAGTTTGACCACCTGCTACAGATCTAGAGCTACTAGATCCTCTTGTCGCCTTTGGCTTCACCACAAGAGCATTATTGCCATGATCTGAACCTTCACTGCCACTTTTACAATCTGAGTTTTCTATGTTAACTTCGGCTCAGTCCATTTTCTTTTCTTTGTTTTTCTGTTCTTTTTCACTAGTCTTCTTCGTAAGCAAATCAAATATCTCTTGCTGCACTGGAGCTGGAACTTTTCCACACTTAGTAGTATTGAAACCTTTAATTCCTGCAAGATGGTACTTAATTCTTGTAATTCCACCACTGCAGAGCTCGTCACAACACTTGCACCGTAGGTGATGTTTCTTGGTTATGTCTGGGCAGAAACAGTGAGCCCATGCAGGGTCATCTGAGTTGATACCAGGTTGTTTTGGTCCAGCTTCTACTGTGACAGAGGCAGCACTAGACGGGTTACCTATACAAAGAGCAAACTAAGCCACATTAAAACCTAAATAAGACAAGGTCCTATTGCAAAGGCAAAGTAAGCCACTGTTTAGAACTGGTTCAACAAGCACGGATCTTTCAACAAGCAAAAATATGAATAAAGAATTTATCTGCATATGCCCCAATCAAAATAATGCAAACTAATATAGCAGTTATTATCATTTACCACCTAGGCCAAACAAGCACGAGAGGCAAGTATATGAAATTAGAGGTAACAAATATTGACAGCTTGTTTACATATAGTGAGATCTGCGACATACAAGCAAAAAAAAAAGAGAGGAGGTTGTGAGCACTGACCAGATTGTTGTGCCATGCCGTCGCCATTGGTGCTCTACTGCTACTTCAGTGCTTCGGAGACGAGGAGCACCCAGCGCTGACGGACCTCCTCGTCAGACTTGCGCCGCTGCTCAGCTGCCTCCGGCGCTGCCGCCGCTGCCCGCTCAAAGCAGCCGCCGGCGCCGGTCGCCTCCACGAGCCGCCACCAAAGGGCACAGCCACCGGCCTCTGTTGATCTGCTCGATGCCGCCGCCACCAGTCGCCTCCTCTTCTTGCAGCTAGAGAGCGGGCGCTTGGAAGCTAGGTGCTTAAGAGCTAGGGTTTGCAGTATTTTAGCCACCTCTCGTCTCTGGTCCAATTAGGCCGGCTTCCTTGTTGGGCTAGGCCGGCCGTGTTTCACAATTTAGCTACGCTAAATTAAGGCCAGTTTAGCGGCTATTGCCGGCTAAACGACGCTATTAGCGCCCCGCTTTTCTTAGTGCAAAAAACTGCATCGCTTAGCTGCTTCCATCCCCAGCAGCTATCTCCGGCTATAGCTGCAGCTATAGCCGGAGATTTAAAACTTTGATCCAAACAAGGCCTTAGAGATTTTAGAATGGTCGGAGTTGGAGTTCTAATATCCCCTTCTCTGTCCCACTGAAATTCCCATGGCAAATTCGAGTGAAATCATACAGTACATTCCATAATTCCCTCCAAATAATGATTCAACAAGAATGATTCAAAATCCAATGGTCTTCTCCAATAATAATAAGTGTTCATTTAAGCATACAGTACTTGTTAACCACCAAACATTGATTTAGCAGTAGTAGTACTAGCTAGTTTAGGACACTGGTACTTGAGTGCTGAAGCTAATGATAGAGGCCCGAATCATAAAGATCTCAACCTCTTTCGGATTCAAAGAACCAAACTTTTAAAAAGGACTCTGCCGCACAAGCTAATAAACAATTGATTTTGAGCCATATATGCCAGTACCCTATATACAGAAAAAAAGAGCTTTTGATTCGGAAGGACAAAATTTGACCCTATCTCTGCACCAAACCAAAAGCAGTTTAAGAGCAACATTTGTTTGCTGAACTGAATGTTTCGTGTCAATCTGCAGTCGTCAAAAGTTTTTTAATCTTTTCACATGACATAATTACTTATCCCACTAACTACACTCAGATCACACAAATGAGCAGTGCTGACAGAATTACCATCTATTGAATATGTGAATGAAAGAAATCAAAAGGGCATGCACAAATGCATTTCATTTAACCAAAATATGTGCAATCATGTTATTTCTGCTGTAATATAACATTTTACGAAACAGAGTAGAAAGAAACAAGGCTTCCTTCATCCACCACAAAGAAAAAACATAAGCTCTTGTAAAAAGAGAACACCTTACACCATTACGTGGATCATGGATGACAGGTACAAGTTGCTGCCTTAATTCCCCTGATCAAATGCAGCGTCAGGTTTCAGTTTCTCCAAACCTTGTGTAACCTCATGCCTTGATATCCTAGTTGGAGCACTTGATGGAGCCTCTTGCGATGTCAATCTCGATCAGGCTGTCCTCCTCGCTGATCTCTGACAACATGTCGAAGAAATCTCTCCTGTCCAGCAGCAAATCCGGCAGGAACTCCGCGAGGAGGTCCTTCTTGTAGTTGTATGCGCGTCGCTGTTCAGCTTGCTCTGCGCCGCCCACGTAGTGCCCATCGACAAGGGAGATCTCAATGAGGCTCTCGTCGTCGTCGTCGTCGTCGTCAGCTTCATCTGACACTGAGCCTTCCTCGGTGCCCTTCTCGTCGTTCGTCGTGCACTCTGAAGAATCTGATAGGCTTCCCATCAAATCCTCCGGCGCATCGTCCGGCACCCCATCTTGTGGCACAATGCTCTTCTCCTGATACACAGTCACAGCCTCCTCCATGGAAGCCGGAGCCTTATTAGCCTTGTGGGTGTTGTCTCTGAGTTGCTTTCTGAGGTTGGTGAAGAGCAAGGAGAGGCAGGTGGAGATGACAAGCATCAGCAATGCGAGCGAAGACGATTCCGAGAAGGAAGAAGAAGATGGTGAAGAGGAAGAAGAATACATACTGTAAAGGCTACATGAAATGAGTATGAGTGTGAGTTGTATGGCCATTTGGGAGCTGGGAGGCATCAAGAAATCCCTCACGGCGGCAGGAGCTTTAGTGGCACAAATGATGCAAACGTTTAAGGGGAAGGAAGCCATGATGAGGCAGGCATGAATGAAAGAGAAAGCAAGCAAAGGGCTGTGTGTTTCTGTTTCCCCTATCAAATGGATTTTTTAAATTGTCACAAAGAGGAGTAGAGTAGGAGAGTAGGGCTCACCATGGAGCATGCATCTGCAGCACTATTTTATCTGACACGGATGGATGAGTGCCAGTGCAAAGATATATAACTGCAGCAGTGAATGCATAGAAAAACTGAGGTTCCTCCTCTAAAAATTTACACCCTATCCCATCAAATATTTGGACACATACATAGAGTATTAAATATAGACTAAAAGAATAACTAATTGCACAGATTACGACTACTTTGCGAGACGAATCTTTTAAGCCTAATTAGTCTATGATTTGACAATGTGGTGCTACAGTAACATATGTGCTAATGACGGATTAATTAGGCTTAATAAATTCGTCTCGCGGTTTACTGACGGATTTTGTAATTTGTTTTTTTATTAGTATCCGAACACCCCATGCGACACTCCCATGTAACACTCGATGTGACACCCCAAAACTTTACGCTCTGGATTTAAAGAAGACCTGAAACTTTTTGGTGAACTGTTACCGGTGTGAGTCCACCACCCATGTCCTTTCGCAGCACTAGGTTATGAAGGTAACTGCTGTCTTTGCATCATGGTCAGAGTTGTTAAGTCCTGCATGAGCACAGCAATATTTAAGCTGTGGTCCATTGCGGTTTGCCTATGGCATGACGACATGTATGGCAGGGGTTTTGGGCTCTGACGAGCTTAGGAGTAGTAAGAGGGTACCATGCATGTGCAGTTAGGAGTAAACTAAAAGTTCACCGTATGGGCCTCACAGACTCATCTCTTTCACTCACTGCTGCTGTTAGCCTTTCACCCTTATCAAAAGCAGGAATTTACTTTGTTCATGAAAGGTGAAACTATAATGAAATTTCTCCCCTTTTGCAGCACTCTTTCTTTCCCTGCGCAATGGGACTTATTACCCAACGTCCATGATTCGCTCCATCCATCCATCCTTAATCCTTTCCTCTGGAAAAATGGTTTTATTTCTCTGAAAAATTATGAGTGCAGTAATACTGGTATTTTCATAATCAGTGATTGATTCACAAAATCTTTTGGCCAAAGAGCCAGATGTGGTGCATAGGACCAAATCTTCACAGCCTATGAATTGTAAACAAGGAATCCTATGGTGATAAGAAAAAAGCCCTGCCCCTCCTTCAGTTTCATGAGCCATTAATACTGGACCAGTGGATGAGGCAAAGAAACACACCTGAGTCAAATGGATCTACTGAGGACTTCTCCTCATTTAGCTCAACCTATCCTTTTATATATGTACAGTGTCAGAGGGCAGGGTTTCAAAGTAGCATATCAGACAAGTATGCAAGCTAAAAAAACCACCGACGGTACAAGCTTTGTATTAAACACTAAGCGTCCAGTGATTTCCCCGGGACCAGTCTACTCTAAAAGCCTATTTGCTCTTTAATCAGATCTTGTCAACAGGGTCACTGTACAGCTAGGAACAGTAATAGGTTACGGTAGATGGATAATACCTCAATACTAATGTTTTGTGGTCTCTGGGCATGTCGTTGAGCACCCGTGGCAAGTCAAGGATTTGAGTTCGGCTAAATAGATTATATTACTGGGAAACTAACTAACTAAACTACACTCAATCCATTGCCTCTATGCTAGTATATTATAGCCTTATAGTGAATTATACATAAGAAGATACAATTTTGCCTTTAAATGTACAATTTGATCACTATGTATATATATTTGCTAGTGTATAGAACAAGCACTAAGCTTTACGAAATAATAATTTGACTTTTGAGTAACTTATTTTCTTGATCAACCAGGAGAGATGTTATCATTATATTTGTTTTGAGTATCAAAGGATACCAGTAAAATTTGAAGAATATTTAAAGGCGAAATTCTTCCGTTCTGCTTTTTTTACTTCCTAAATTGTTACCGTATCTCTCTTTATCTGTATCTGACCCGGACTCATGACCCATGCTCACATAAGTTAGCAACGCGTGGGTTTATGCATACATGGATGGTATGTAGTCTGATTCTAATATATATTAGAACATATGACACAACTGTTATATAAATCTCCGGGCCACGAGGTGACCGTGTAAAAAGTTGTATGTTGCAATACATGGGCATATTTGTCAATAAAATTTGAAATTTCAACCGCAAATACAGTTATTTGTAGGCATTTGCTTACATGACATGATTCATTATCTAAAAAAATTACATGATCAATTAAAACATGCATGTTGTCCACTTCTGACAACTGAATGAACCATTTCTAATCAGCCTTAGTAGGTGGCAATGGTTAGTTTTAGCTGGGAACATGATAGCATAAAAAACCCAACAACCACGAAAGTAAGGTGGCACAAGCTCTCATGATTACTGAACCTTCTTCAGAAAACAAAAAAGGGTTTCTTTTTCCGGCTTCTCACTAATGCTTGGCCTTGTGTACAAATAGAAAGGGACATCTCGAAGAGGCATCTATCATTTCGCGGTCCATGATCTTGAGCGAAAGCTGCCGAGCCACAAATCTCGAGAAATAAGTAAATCATTCCCACAGTGCAGTGGCACAACAGGCAAAATCTCACTGTCTAGCTGCTGATCCTATCTGTTAGCTCTTAAGATCGTCTAGGCATAGATCTAGTGGGTGTGTTCTTTCAATTCGGGATAAATAAGCATGTAGATCATCCTAGAGCACAAACCAGAGAGAGAGGGAGAGAGAGAGAGAGAGGTAAGGGTACCGACAATCGGCGGGCTTGGCGAAGGTGGAAGCCATGTCGTCGGTGGCGTGGAGTGCTGGTGGAGTCCAGCGGGTGTAGACGTCGGGCTCGCGGTGTCCGGCAACAACAGGGGCAACGAGATCCAGTGGTGACAACAGTGGAGCTTCCAGTCGCCTTCAGCGCTACCCTCTAGATCGGATTAGGGTTTAGATGGGTTCTATGGGTGGCAGGGAACCTCGTGTCACGAGCCCCCCAGCCCACCTCCTATTTATAGCGCTACGCGACAGGGGCCCACCAGCCAGGAGTACGGCCGGACGTCCCCGATCAAGGAGCGAGTCAGGGTCCGACTCGGTCGTTGGACCGAGCCGGGTGGAGATCGATCTAACATTACACCCCTTGATCTCACCTTATGACTTAAAACTTAGTTCACTTTATCTTTCTCTCCATTCCCTCACAAATTAGTGCATAGAGCATGCCTCGTCATAACAGTTAGTACCGTTAGATTAACAGCTATAATACACCTCTCTGTTTTGAAATAGATTCTCAACTAGGCCCTTAGTATCCATAAATCATAAGCTTTCTCGTAAACCCATGTCGACTGTGTGTTCTCTGAACGTACTGGGTGCTAAGCCTTTGGTAAGCGGATCCGCAAGTACTTGCTCGGTGCTTATTCGCTCAAATGCTTTCAAAATGATTCTGGATTTTCTCCTTTACAACATGTAACTTAATATCAATGTGTTTGGTAGCACACTTGACCTGTTGTCATAGGAGTGATTTACTTTAAATGGTTATTGTTGTTGTCTACCATTGTTAATTCCAGGTACAAATTCCCTTAACCACTTTTGCCTGTCCCTGAAGCCTCATAACAATCTATACTATGGGTATGCATCATTGATGATACCACAACTATTTCTTTGAAGCTTTTCCACAATAAAACTCCAACTGCGAGTGTTAGTAACTACTGTGAATTTCACTACACATCTCGTCGAAGTTTAACATTTGTACCCACAACTATTTGAGAGTACTTGTTCTTCCTTACTCAGCATGAGGCCTTTAATGTTTTGCAAAATTGCAAGACATTCTTAACTCTATTCTAGTGATCTATATCTGGACTGGACTTCTGCCAAAACATCCCAGACATGTGAACTATGTTAGGGTAAGTTCTTACTTGTGCACTCATTAAGCTTCCAACAGCTGAAGCATATGGAACCATATTCATTTGATCGATCCCATATTGGTTTTTGGAACACTGAAAGTTCCCAAATCTATTACCCATGACTATAGGAGCAGGCGTATGTTTACTCGCATGTAAACTTTATTTCTTTAGAATCTGTTCTAAGTATGCCTTTGCTATAGCCCTAATACCCCTTTTTTCCATCTCGGTGAATTTCAATTCCTAGAAAAAATGACACTTCACCAAGATCATTCAAATTGAAACTTGAGGAGAAGAACTTCTTCTTCTCCAATAGTAGATCTACATCACTACTGGTGAGTAGGAGGTCATCTATACACAGGATGTGGAAAATGAATTTTTCATTCTAGAACTTTGCATAAATGCTATTGTCCTTCTCATTCTCTTTAAACCCAAACTTTCTTATTATTTCATCAACTTTAAATACTACTGTCTAGAGGCTTGTTTTAACCCATAAATGGATTTCCGCAGGTGGCATCCCATATATTCTTTTCCCTCCATGACAAAACCTTTGGGTTGTGCCATGTAAACGTTTTCATACAAATCTCCGTTGAGGAATGTCGTCTTTACATCCATCTGATGTAACTCTAAATCGTAAAGTGCCACTAATGCCATTATGATTCTAAAAGAATCCTTGCATGAGACTGGAGAAAAAAACACTCATTATAATCTATTCCTTCTCTTTGCATAAATCCTTTTGCCACAAGTCACGCTTTAAATCTTTCCATATTCTCTTTGGAGTCATATTTGGTTTTGTAGACCCATTTACAGCCTACTGTTTTGACTCCTTTAGGAATTTTTTCTAAGTCCCAAACATCGTTGGTGCTCATTGATCTCATTTCATCTTCGATGGCTTCAAG